TTGAACAAATAGAGGGGACTCATGATAAGATGAATTGGGACACAGGATTGCTGTGTTCCAGGTAGAGGTTCATCAGGCAAGGCTTTCAATGACATTGAATCTGTAGCTGGTACAACTGGATCATCCCCCTGTTTATATGGATGCTACTAGTTGTATCAGTGGGTTAAACCACTGAGCTGCTGAAGTTGCTGACTGAAAGGTTGACGGTTTGAATCTGGGGAGCGGAACAAGCTCCCGCTGTTAGCCCCAGCTTCTGCCAACCTAGGAGTTTGAAAACATTCAAATGTGAGTGGATCCATAAGTACTGCTCTGGTGGGAAGGTAACAGTGCTCCATGCAGTCATGCCAGTCACATGACCTTGGAGGTGTCTATGGGCAATGCCAGCTCTTTGGCTTAGAAATTGAGATCAGCACCACTCCCAGAGTCTGACTCGACTAGATTTAATGTCAAGGGGAAACCTTTATCTTTTATAGTTGTACCAGCTACAAATTGATCCATGGTCCCAGGCTCCTTCTACACTGCCATATAATCCAGATTATCAAAGCAGATGACCCACATTATCTGCTTTGAACTGGATTGTATGACACTGCCATATAATCCAGTTCAAAGCAAATAATCTGAATTTTATTTGGCAGCATAGAAGGGCCTTGGTTGAGTAAATTTGACTTAATTTAAAAGAATTGTCCAAGGTGCTAAATCTTTAAGCGACTCCAGTTCAATACAATGAATTCCATCAGCTCCTTCTACACTGCTATATAAAATCCAGATTATCTGCTTTGAACTGGTTTATATGGCAGTGTAGACTCATATAATCCACTTCAAATCAGATAGTGTGGATTACCTGCTTTGATAATCGGGATTATATGGCAGGGGTCATCCTTTAACACTCAGGTTGCAATTCAGAGTAAGTTGATAATCTCACTTGCATGGAAGTTGCCAAAGGAGAATTGCGGCAGCTTCCTGTTTTAAAAGGGAGGCAATGGCTCATGCAATCAACCCAGTCCAATTTTTCCATTGCCTCTATGGAATGGGCACCAAATAGCAGGGCAATATTTACTCTGAGGGAAGCTGGTGCTTCTACAATGCACTTTGCCTCTAATCATGCATCTATTGTAGAATTAAATGCAGTTTGACAGCACTTTAACTGCCATGGCTCAATGCTAGGGAATCCTGGGAGTTGTAGTTTTACAAGGTTTTTCTGCCTTCTCTGCCAAAGAGGGCTTGTGCCTCAAAGCAAACCTCAAAGCCCAGGATTCCATAGCCTTGTCCCCTGGCAGTTCATGTGGTGTCAGAAATGCATTATTTCTACTGTGGAGATCCACCCCAAGAGGACTTCACTGAAAGCAGGTCATTCAGGGTTATGGTTGGTGATGTCATTGAAGTCCTTAGAAGTTTCACTGCATTTCATCTTGGAAGAAATGCATTTGGATCCTCCTCCTCTCCTAAAGGGCCTGGTCTAGGGGATGCTGGAAGTTGTAGTCCAAAAGAGAGCGTGGATATGTTCTTGTGTGTTTTGTTTGCCAGGGGAGTCATTTTTGCGCATGCACTGTAGTGGTTTTTAGGTTTTTTGGCTTTTTAAGTCCCTTCTGCTGTGTTTTTCAATGTTTTTATGAGTGATGGTCACTTGTTGGCCTGATGTATTGTGTCCAAATTTGGTGTCAATTCGTCCAGTGGTTTTTGAGTTATGTTAATCCCACAGACTAACATTACATTTTTATTAATATAGACTAGCTATAGCCACAAGGCGTTGCTGTGGCCCAGTCTGTGTATGTGTGTTTTGTATATGCGTGTTTGTATGTGTGGTATATATTTGTGTATATGTGTATAGATGTGTGTTTGCATTTATAGATGTGGTTTGTGCATGCGTTGTAATGTATTTTTAATTTTTGGGGGGCTTTTTAAGTCTCCTCTGCTGTGTTTTTCAGTGTGTTTGTGAGTGATAGTCACTCGTTGGCCTGATAGGCGTCTTGTGTCCAAATTTGGTGTCAATTCGTCCAGTGGTTTTTGAGTTATGTTAATCCCACAAACAAACATTACATTTTTATTCATATAAATAGATAGTTTATGTAACATGGTTTTTGCTCCTGGTTATAAATGTCATTATATGGGTCTACGCTGACCATATAAACCAGTTCAAACTGCATTATTCGGTGGTGTAGGTTCAGCAAGAGACTTTCCCCAAGACACTGTTTAGCAGGAGGTTGTGTGAACCGTTTAGCTCTTGTTTCCAAGTGCAAACTACTTCGAAGGTTTTCCCTATTCGACACACCCCGGGGGTTTGAACTCGGAGCCCTTCCACGTGGAAACCTGACCTAAAGGGTTCGGTTTCCAAAGTGACAGATGCTGAAGCTGAAGTTTACCTGGAAACCGTGCCTTCTCTGGGATTTGGGAAGTGTCTCCCAGGCAGATACTTTGAGGGCGGTTACAGAGGGAAACCAGACTTTGCGCATGCGCAGAAGGACTCGGTGGCAAGCCAGTCCCTCTAACGCAGGCATGGGCAAACTTAGGCCTTCCAGGTGTTTTGCACTTCAACTCCCACCATTCCTAACAGCCTCGGGCCCTTTCCTTTCCTAACAGCCTCGGGCCGGCTGAGGGGGAAAAGGAAGGGACCTGAGGCTGTTAGGAATGGTGGGAGTTGAAGTCCAAAACAACTAGAGGGCCCAAATTTGCCTATGCCTGCTCTGACGAGTCGAATTGCATTCTATAGCAGTGTAGACCCCGCCTCATTCAGGGGTTTTGAGGCCATCCAGCCTCATTCAGACCTAATCTCCAGGTAATCAAAGTGTGTTTGGGATGACACTTGAGGATTACCTACCTCAGAAGGAAATGCCACTGAATTCAATTGCCGGGTCAGCGGGCGACAAGATGGTTATTATTTCGAAATCCTTCTTCAAATAGGCATCTCTTGTGTATTTTGCAACAGGAGAAAGCTAGCTTTTCCCATCCGCAGGTGGCTATTTCGTAATGCCCTTAAAGGGATTAAACCTCTGAGGATGTGGGCGAAACGTCAGGAGAGAATGCTTCTGGAACATGGCCATACAGCCCGGAAAAGTCACCGCAACCCAGGGGTTTAAACTGTTGCCTTATCACTTTCCCGAGGAACCACCGCCCCCCTCAGCAATGGGTCTTGTGCTGGCAGGACTGAAAACCGATAGATCGGAGGTTTGATTCTGGGGAGAGCGTGGATGAGCTCCCTCTGTCAGCTCCAGGTCCCCATGCCGGGGCATGAGGGAAGCCTCCCACAATGATGGTAAAACATCAAACATCCAGGCGTCCCCTGGGGAACGTCCTTGCAGACGGCCAATTCTCTCACACCAGAAGTGACTTGAAGTTTCTCAAGTCGCTCCTGACACTGAAAAAAAAAAATCATCAGTTTCCCGGATTTTATTGGGGCTCTTTCTACACTGCCATATAATCCAGTTTGAATCGGATAATCTGGATTTTACATGGCGGTGGAGAAGAGGCCCTAGACTGCCGGGTTTAGGGCGATATCTGGAGTGAAGAAAGGTTTGGTTGAATCAAACTCGGATCCTAAACCTACAATCAAGAAGGCGACGGTCTGTATAGAAATCCTCAGACTCCGGCCGCTGTGGAGTTAGGGAGTCGCCCTACACTCACCCTTCAGTCGTAGTAAAAGCGCCAAAAAGACTGGCCGATCTGGGGGCATCCACACTGTAGAATCAATGCAGCTTAATATTGCTTCAGTTGTCATGGTTCAATGCTATGGAATCCTGGGGAGGGGAGGTTTAGGGAGACACCTTGTAAAACCACAGCCTCCCTGATCCCATCGCATTGAGTTGTTGCAGTGACAGTGTTGTCAATTTGCATTAATTCTACAGTGTAGACCAGGCATGGGCAAACTTCAGCCCTCCCTCCTTAAGCTTAAACTTAAGTGGCTGAGGGAGAAAAGGAAAGGGCCGGAGGCTGTTAGGAATGCTGGGAGTTCAAGTCCAAAACACTTGGAGGGCCCAAGTTTGGTCATGCCTAGACATGTAGACGCACCCGTTATTTGGCAAGGAGCCCTTCTTTCCAGGATAGTTTCGGGGCAAACGATGGAACTAGAGGAGTGGGCCCGATTCTCTATCCGTGGAGGTCGATTGAGTCCTCCACGTTTTTATTCGAAGGGCAAACCAATATCTATTGGCGTGAAGGGGGCTTTTCCGGTGGAAGGAGAGGAAGGATTGGGAACCTAAATATCTTCCTCAACGTATTTTCTTGCATCCGCTGAGTTTCTTTCTTTCTCCCCCTCTCTCCCCTTTCTTTCTTTTTGTCTTTCTTTCTCTTTCCTTTCTTTTTTCTCTCTCCTCCTTTCTTCTTTATCTTTCTTTCTCCTTTCTTCTCTTTCTCTCCCTTCCTTCCTTCTTTCTCTCTCTCTCTCCCCTTTCTTCTTTTTTTCTTTTCTCTCTTTCTTTTCCCTCTCCCCTTTTCTTTCTTTCACTCCTTTCTTCTCTCTCCCCCCTTTCACCTTTCTTTCTCTCTTCTTTCTTCTCTTTTTTCTTTTCTCTTTCTCTCCCCCTTTCTTCTTTCTTTCTTTCTCTCTCCTTTCTTCTCTTCCTCTTTCTYTCTCTCTCCCTTWTCTTCTTTTCTTTTCTCTTCTCCCTTTCCCTGTTTTTCTTTCTTTCTCCCCTTCTACTTTCACTTTCTCTCTCCCCCTTTCTTTCTCTCTCCTTTTCTTCTTTCCTACACTCTTCCCCTTCCTCTTTTCTCTTTCTCTCTCCTTTCTTCTCTTTCTCCCCTTTTCTTTCATTCTCTCTCCTATCTTCTTTCTTTCTCTTTCTCTCTCCTTTCTTCTTTATCTCTCTCCCGCTTTCTTCTCTTCTCTTCTCTTCTCCCCCCCCCGCTCAAGACCCACGCCCATCTACAAAAGAAAGGAGCAGAAAACCACCGCAATACKTCGATTCCTTTGTTTTCTTTTTAATTATTATCATTCCTTTAAAACGTCAACAATGAATCCATTTCCTTTCTTTTTTTTCGCAACGAAACAATAAATATTATTTAGCAACTTTTTCCATTTCTTTATTTTTTATATATATTTATAAAAATAAACAAGTGATAAAAAAATCTCTCGAGAAGGTGACAGCGCGAAGAAGAGGAGGAGGAGGAGGAAAAAAGGGAGGTTGTTGGGAAAGAAAGGGAGAAAAGAAGAGTGCAGCAGGAGCGGGCCATTGGTTAAGGACAGAAAGGGAAAGGGAGGATTAGGGATCGGGAAGGAAGAAGAGGGCCCGGAGCCCCAGAAAAGGCTTGGCGGAGGAGCCGGGGAGCAGAGGGGAAGGAAGTCTTGAGCCGCATTAGAAGAACACCTCCCAACAAAGGATTCCCCCAAGCAGGAAGCAGCCAGGCTTTGAAACTGCAAGGCTATTCAATGCTAATCAAGCTGGCCAATTGCAATATTCACACTTGCCTCAAATACACATGAGTTCTTTCTCCCATCCTGTACATTCCTCAGATATATAAACTTCACTTGACTAGTTTCCAACAGACCTCACAGCCTCTGAGGATGCCTGCGATAGAGGTGGGCAAAACGTCAGTCGAGAATGCTTCTGGAACATGGCCATATAGCCTGGGAAACTCACAGCAACCCAGTGCCCTATTTGCCATAGAAATCTAGTACTTTATCACACTAGAAAATGAATCCACTTAAAATCCGGTTGTTGCCTCCTGCAGAATTCTGGGGTTTGTAGTTTAGGGAAGAGCCTTTAACAGCCCCACTAAACGACAAACCCCAGAATTCTGCAGGAGGCAGAAACCGGATTTTAAGTGGATTCATTCTGTAGTGTGAGAATTGGAAGGGCCAGTCATTCCAACGCTGTCGTTCTGCCCTGCAGGAACACCCAATCAAACCACTCCCGAGAGATGGCCCATTCAGCCTCTGCTTGAAAACCTCAAGAGAAGGGAAACAACGGCAGAATAGCTCTCGCCCTCAGGAAGTTCTTCCTAATGCTGTAGTGCCTTGGTGGGAGTCCTTCCTTGGCTTCAACAGCCAGCTCAAAGACCTCATCTACACTGACCATTTAAGGCAGACTTCGAGAAAGAAAGCCCTTAATGTGCGTCACTGCTCTGTGGTTTGGGTCATCATCACCGTCCCGGCCTCAAAGTGGTGCCAGGATGTCCCATGCTGTCCTCCAGAATCATAGAGTTGGAAGAGACCTCGTGGGCCATCTAATCCAACCCCAGAGAAACTGCCTCGTTCAACCGCCTTTCCTTTCCCCCCTCAGCCGCTCAAGCCCAGGTATTTTGGACTTCAACTCCCATCTTAAACGGCTGAAGGGGAAAAGGGAGGCGCCCGGTGGTGTTGGGAATTGTGGGAGTTGAAGTCCAAAACCCCTGGGCTTAAGCGACTGAGGGGGAGAATGGAAGGCGCCTGAAGCTGTGAGGAATGGTGGGAGCTGAAGTCCAAAACACCGGGACTTAAGCGGCTGAGGGGGAAAAGGAAGGCGCCCGAGGGTGTTGGGAATGGTGGGAGTTGAAGTCCAAAACACTGGGGCTTAAGCGGCTGAGGGGGGAAAGGAGAGGGCCTGCGGCTGTGAGGAATGGTGGGAGTTGAAGTCCAAAACACCTGGAAGGCCCAAGTTTGCCCAGGCCTGTGTGATAGGACCTGTGATGGACTGGACTCGCTGTGTGTGTGTGTTGGGTCCCCAGGTCGGATCAGAAAGGAGGCAACGAGAGGCCAAAAGGTCCCCGAGGAGCCCCACCAAGGAGCCCAGGTTTCCTCGTGAACGCAGTGCACCCAAGGCCCGCATTTACAGAGTCAAGACTAGTCGAGTCCGAGGAGGCCAAGTCCGTGGAAGCGGGAGAGGCGCCGGGGTTCGCCCTCCCTCCCGAGGCGCTCATTTGGCGTCGCTGGTGAGTCTGGGCAGCCCGGCGGGGCCGTGGTGGTGGTGGGCGGGGACGGGCACCTGGCACATGCTGCAGGGGCAAGGCATGCCTCCCCAGTGCTGGAACCCGCTGCCCAAGGGGGCCGAGGCGCCGGCAGCAGCAGCGGCGGAAGGCGCCTTGAGGAGGCCGTGTCCCGGGCGGAGGGCGCTGACGGTGGGAAGAGAGGCGGCGGCGGGAGGCAGGAGGGGGTGGTGGGCGGCAGGGTGTCCCGGCAAGGGCGCCGCGTGGCCCACCATGCCTCCCGGGCACCCGGCGGCGGCGGAGGCCGGGTGGAAAGCTGCGGCGGCGGCGGCTGCAGCTGCGGCGGCGTGGTGCCCCCCTCCGTAGATCTCGCTGAGGAGGCGCTTCATCTCCTCGAGGGAGTTGGTGAGCATGAGGATGTAATTCCGGGCGAGGAGCAGCGTGGCGATCTTGGAGAGCTTGCGCACCGACGGGCCGTGCGCGTAAGGCATCACCTCCCGCAGGCCGTCCATGGCGATGTTGAGGTCGTGCATGCGCTTCCGCTCCCGGCTGTTGATCTTCAGGCGCAGCTGCTGCAGCTCGGGCTCCGTCATCTGCTTCTTGTCCTTCTTGGAGGAGGAGGAAGAGGAGGAGGAAGTGGAGGAGGAAGAGGAGGAAGGGGACTTGAAGGCCAGCTTGTCCACCAGCACCACGCCGGACGCGCTCAGCTCCAAGGCCGGCTCGCTGGGGGTCGAGCTAGACACCGCCGCCCCCGAGGAAGAGGAGAAGCCCCCCAGGCCGCCCCCGACGCCGCCGCCCGCCTTGCTCCGCGCCGAGAGGAAGAGCTCGTCCGGCTCTGCCGAGGATGGGCGGCTCGAGACCAGGCTCGCGTCCGAGTCCATGCTGGCCCGGGAAGGCCTGCCAGGAAGGAGGAGAAATGGGAGGAAAAAGAAGAGGAAGGGGAGGGGAAGCAGAAGAAATAGGAAGAAGAAAAGTAGAAGAAGGAAGAGGAGGGGGAGAAATAGAAGGAGGAGAAAGAAGAGTAAGAAGAGTAAGAAGGAAGAGGAATAGAAATCAAAGAAGAATAGGAAGAAAGAAGAGGAGAAATAGAATAAATAGGAAGAAGAAGAGGGGGAGAAGAAGAAATAAGAGGAAGAGGAGAGAGGAAGAAGGGAAGTAGAGAAGGAAGAGAAAAAATAGGAGGAGAAATAGAAGGAAGAAGAAGAGGAGAAATAAAGAAAAGGAGAAGAGATAGGAGGAGGAGAAAAGAGCGAGGAAAAGTAGTGGTAGAAGAAAGAGGAGAAGTAGAAGAAATAGGAAGAAGAATGAGGGAAGAAGAAATAAGAGGAGGAGAAATCAGAAGAAGCGGAAGAGAAGTAGAAGAAGGAAGTGGTGGAGGAGAGAAATAGGAGGAGAAATAGAAGGAAGAGAGGAAAGGAGAATAAAAAGGAGAGGAGAAAAAGAAGAGAAGAAGGAGAGAAGAAATAGAAAAAGGAGAAGAAAAAGGAGAAGGAGTAAAAGGAAGAGGAGGAAGAGAAAAAGGAGAATTAGGAAGATGAAAAAATAGAAGAAATAAAAATAGAAGAAATAGAAGACGAAAAAAGAAGGAAAAAACAGACAAGGAGCGTCAGTTGGGAATATTAGCAGGGATAATGTGCGTATCAGAGGAACTGAGATACCACACTTAAGGAGCAAACAAATAGTAACAGTAGTAACAGTAATAATAGTAATAATAATATCACACAGTCCTAGACGCTTGGGAAGAGTTCGACTTGTGATGTTTTGATACGGAAATCCAGCATATAGATCTCGTTTGCTGTGACATACTGTGCTTTTGTGTCAGTAAAATAATAATAATAATAATAATAATAATAATAATAAAATAGATTTATATCCCGCTTTTCTCCCTAAAGCGGCTCCCAACATTTTTAAAACATTACAGATCAAGTATACATATAACTAAAACCTATAGCAAAAGTTTAGTAGCCAAAGTTACAAAAGTTTTGTTTACGTTTAAATAAAAACTAGGGTCCTATGCTTTAGCCAGGCTGAACTCATTCAAGGCAGAACAAAGGAGCGGAAAACTCCAGAAAGGGGACTGGAAACTTGGGAAGAAGTGGGACCCAGAGAGATATCAGTCTAAACGTTACAAATCGGAGCAGGACACTTGATTTGGGAGTGTAAGTCGGGGGCAGGTTTTCCCCATTCTATACCCTGCCGACTGACTGGTCTATCCATTTTCCCCTCCTGAGAGGTATTCCTTGTGTGGTTGAACTCCGACAGGGAAGAAGGGGCTCCAAAAGGAAGCCGGGCCTGGAATGGAAAACCCCGTTGGACCCTATCAGGTGTGGCTCTGACTGACGGCCAATGGGTCGTGGCATTGTTGTTTAGGGACATCAAAACAACCCTTGCCATGCATTCCAGAAATGTATGTTTACTTCTTGATGCAAAATGCAGCCAAAATCAACGTCGGGAAAGCATAGTTTTTCCAGATCTTTGGCCCCATCTAAAATGACCATTGGGTGCCGTTTCAAAATAGTATGGAAGAAAATAAATGTCAGTGCTGATATGGTTCGGAAGCTTCAATCCAGCTTCAAACTACATTCAATGGTCAGCGTAGACCGAAACACAATCAGAGGTGGTTTGGGATAAAGGATCGTGGCTCCATTCTGTAAAAATACATTAAAAAGCAACATCTAACAGATCTCACAACCCCTAAGGATGCCTGCCATAGATGCAGGCGAAACGTCAGGAGAGAATGCTTCTGGAACATGGCCGTACAACCCGGAAAACTCACAACAACCCAGTGATTCCGGCCATGACAACTTCTGACAAAACATTCAAGACCCTTAATTTATTCCAGAGGATCGAATCTCTAATGGGTCAGAAGTTTCATCCACAAACACGCATGGAAATCGGTCTCCCTGGTTTTATAGGGGGCTCATCACACTAGGGAAAAAACCCACTTAAAATCCGGTTTCTGTCTCCTGCAGAATATTGGGGTTTGTAGTTTAGGAAGGAGACTTTAACAGCCTCACTATATTACAAACCCCAAAATTCTGCAGGAGGCAGAAACCGGATTTTAAGTGGATTTTCCCCTCTCTAGTGTGATGAGACTCTCTGGATGAGGACTTTCTGAACGCTCTCCTCCAGAGTTTGAAGCAGTTTGGTCGAAAGGCGTTAGGAAAGGATAGGGATCAAGAGCGGGAGGAGCTGTGTCCTCAAAGGGAACCAAGCCACCAGCAGTGAAGCTCAAAAACGGGGTTGAAAAAGTGGGTGCTCTTATAACACTGGCATGGGCAAACTTGAGCCCTCCAGGAGTTTTGGACCTCAACGCCCACCGTTCCTCACAGCCTCGGGCCCTTTCCTTTTCCCCCTCAGCCGCTTAAGCGGCTGAGGGAAAGGAAGGCCTCCCTCGTGAGGAACGGTGGGCGTTGAGGTCCAAAACTCCTGGAGGGCTCAAGTTTGCCCATACCTGATCCAACCAATGTTTCATTCCCCCTTCCAAGCCCATGGACTTTACCAAACGCGGAAGCGGGACAAAGGGAAGGACAGGGACGGTCCACTTACAGCTGTTCGTGAGGGGGGGGGTCTCTCTCTCTGTGTCTCTCAGTCCCGTTGCCTTATCGCCGCTGTTGGATCAATGTCATCAAGAAGCGCCTTTTCGAGCCTCGCGGGCGTTTTTATAGCAGAGCCGGGCGGGAAACGCTTGTGCTTGTCCTGGACGGCGAGATGAACCAATGAGCGAAGAGGGGGAGAATTTTGCTCAATGAAACCCCCCCCCCCGCTTGAGAGGGTTCCATTGCGCCCGCCCACTCTTCGCGCTCCTAGCCAATGGAGGGAGAAGCTCCCCGGGGCTCGCGCTCTCCCGTCATTGGCTGGAAGCGCGAGGAGTGGGCGGGCGCAATGGGACTCCCTTCTCATCCTGTCTCTCTGGCTCTCTCCCCTCGCAATGTAAACACTCAGGGGCCACAAAAGCCCAGGCACTTATCTCGAGCCCTGGCAGGCAAGCTGGTTCCCCTTGGTGGCCCCACGGACTCCTTCCCTCGCAGGCCCAAGCCGTGCTGCTCTGGCCAGAGTGAAGAGAGAGGGGGGCAGAAGACAGTTCCATCTTGTCTCCTGTGCTTTACTAATAATATAATATAATATAATATAATATAATATAATATAACATACTTCAAGAAATAAAGCCCGACTGCTCACTGGAGGGAAGGAGATTAGAGGCAAAGATGAAGTACTTTGGCCACATAATGAGAAGACAGGAAAGCTTAGAGAAGACAATGATGCTGGGGAAAATGGAAGGAAAAAGGAGGGGGGAAGATGGATGGACGGTATCCTTGAAGTGATTGGCTTGACCTTGAAGGAGCTGGGGGTGGTGACGCCAGACAGGGAGCTCTGGCATGGGCTGGTCCATGAGTTCACGAAGAGTAGGAGGCGACTGAACGAATGAACGACATAATATAATATTATAATGTAATACAATATACTACTAATAATAATAATACAATATTATAGTTATATACTTATATTACATATAGAATTACTAATAATATTACAATATAATGGTATAGTACAATATAGTAATATATAATACTGATATTGTGCTATGCTAATAATTTGATATATTGTATACATATATATCTTGTAAGCCGCTCTGAGTCCCCTTCGGGGTGAGAAGGGCAGCATATAAATGCCATAAATAAATAAATGGGAGTACCTTGATTTCACTCCCACCTCTTCGCCCCTAGGAGGGGAATGACCCCAGGATCTCCCCAAATGAGGGGAAGTTAACGTATAAAATGGCCATAAACTCTCATGACAAACAATAGCTGGATTTTAGGGACCTCGCCACACTAGAGAATGAATCCACTTTCAATCCGTTGCTGCCTCTTACAGGAGGCAGGGAGGAGCCTTTAAGAGCCTCACTAAACTCCGAACCCCAGCAACCGGATTGAAAGTGAATTCATTCTCTAGTGTGATGAGATCCTAGGAGTTCTAGTACAAAGAAGTAATGTCCCAAGCTTTTTCCCCCTCGAAGCACAAATACCTGCTAACTTTTTATTTAATGCAGGTGTGTAAATCTTTCCTGTCACACTGCAATTCCAAGACTATCAGAAGGGGGAAATAGTTATAAACTTCATTAAGAAACTTATTTTCTTTTCAAAGGTCTTGGGCGATCCAAAGCTTAACTAATGAACATTTTGTTTGTTTGAATGTATCTGTGTATGTGTGTGTGTGGAAAGAGAGAACGTGATTGCAATCGTTGCTTGTTTATATCTGTGTGCCCAAATGTACACGCAAAGCGCACGCACAGATAAATTCAAGCACATGAACACATATACATTAAAGTCATATTTAAATAGTAGTATTTTTCATTATTATTTTATTTCTATTTCTATTTTCTCTTGTAGCTATGAGTTTATTGATGCCAATTTGGACTGTTTTGATTTGTGTGTTTTTGTTGAGTATGGCATTGAATGTTGGCCTTTTGTATGTAAACCGTTCCGCGTCCCCTTGGGGAGAGAGGGTGGTCTATAAATTATTATTATTATTATTATTATTATTATTATTATTATTATTATTAAATATTAGTAACAGTTAAATTTTCAATTATAATAATAATAATTAATGTTATAATAATTAATATTTGCATTATAATACTTATAAATATATAATTATATAGAAATATATATCATTTTATAATTATATATATAATTAATAATTACTATTATTACTAATAATATTTGCATTAGTTAAATCTCTCTCTCACTCACTCTCTCACACACATATATACAGAGAGACGGAGTATACACAAACTTTGCTCCTTTTATGACCATTTTATAGTGAAGGCGAAAGTGCTTCAGCTTTTTCGATCTGATGAAAATGAAATTTTCTGAAATGAAATTCCTGGTTACAACAAATCTGGGCACCTACTGGCTAATGGGGATGTAGTACTTTTCTTGGAGGGTGGAGCCTGGGAGCAGTAGTACCACTTAAAATCCGGTTTCTGCCTCTTGCAGGATTCAGGGTTTGTAGTTAAAGGCTGTTAAAGGCTCCTCCCTAAACTACAAACCCCAGAATTCTGCAGGAGGCAGCAACCAGATTTTAAGTGGATTTTTTCCCTAATGTGATGAGGCTTTGGTGGGCTGTTGTGTGTTTTCCGGGCTGTATGGCCATGTTCAAGAAGCATTCTCTCCTGGCGTTTCTCCCACATCAATGGCAGACATAGGAGGATGCTTGCCATAGATGCAGGCGTAACGTCAGGAGAGAATGCTTCTGGAACAGCCCGGAAAACACACAACAACCCAGTGATTCCAGCCATGAACGCGTTGGACAGTTCCAAACTGTATTATATGGCCGTGTAGCTCCAAATGCACAGAAGATGTGAGACGAGCTTTCGAAGTGCCACTGCCTTCTTTATCAGGCTTTGTTTAATCCAAATGTGTGTCTGTGTGAGAGAAAGAATTTGACGCCTTTGCCGGTATGTTTTTCCGAAATAGTAAAAGCAGGCAGCACAGTGAACAATAAACAACGCTGTGTAATGCTACGAAGAAGAAGCAGATTCCCAGCTAAAGGGCTTCACCATTTGATTAATAAGAAGCCAGTGATAAACGAATACAGGAAATATTCTGTCGTTGTTTCAAGCAGAACGTTAATAGACCAAGGAAAGGGAGAAATAGAGAAGGAAAGTGGGACTGTCGTTGAACTGGGACACTTTCTGCTTGGCGTTGCCTCCTTGGGCTCAGCTCCACCGTCAGTTTGGGCTGTTTTCTTTGGATTTCATTGCTTTCTAGAGGATTCAGTCCATTAACGCCCATCTAAACTCAGAGAAACATTGACGTTAAAAGCCGGAATAGTTTTTAGTGGAGGGAAACTCTCCTTGGCGATCCGCGGGCTAGATACTAAAGTAGAAGAATTTAACGCACTTTGATGCTGCTTAATTTGCCATGGCTCAGTGCCACGGAATCCTGGGATTTGTAGTTTGGCGAGGCACCAGCACTCCTTGGCAGAGAAGTTTAGATACTTTGTAAAACTACAATTCCCAGGATTCCATAACATTTAGGCAAACGCTTTCATTCTATAGCAAGCATGGGAAAACTTTGGCCTTCCCTCCAGGTATTTTGGACTCAACTCCCACCATTCCTAACAGCCTCAGGCCCCTTCCTTTTCCTTTTCAGGTAATCCGGGTATTTTGGACTCAACTCCCACTATTCCTAACAGCCTCAGGCCTCTTCCTTTCCCCCCTCAGCCGCTTAAGCGGCTGAGGGGGGAAAGGAAAGGGCCTGAGGCTGTTAGGAATGGTGGGAGTTGAAGTCCAAACCATTTAGAGGGCCCAAGTTTGCCCATGACTGATCTATAGTGTAGCTGCGCCCTCAGTCCTTCATCCACTAGAAATCAATGGGAGGAGTCAGCCATGATTTATTCCAATCCCATCAATTTCCCTGGATCCCTTCTAAGCAGGACGGAACTCGGAGTCTGGAAAAGTTACTTTGGGGTGAACCCCATACTAGGTGTGAGATTCCAGGGGTGCATCGTTACTGCAAAATTAATACCCCTTGAGGCCACTTGAACAGCCATGGGTCAATGCTATATGGACTCATAGGAGTCGTAGCTTCACACATTCTTTAGCCTTCTCTGTCAAAGAGTACTAGTGCCTCGCCAAACTACAAATCTCGTGATTCCTTAGCACTGAGCCATGGGATTGAAAGTGGTGTCAAACTGCATTAATTCTACAGTGTAGATGCAGTTTAAGAAAGTCTGCTTACCGATCTCTACTCAATCTGTGAGCCAGTGCAGTGTTTGGGCGCAAGGAGGAGGAGGACAGCTTGGCAGACGCCAATTAGTAAAATGATGATCATGATGATAATGGAGGAGGAGACTGAGGAGAGGAAGAAGAAGAGGAGGAGGAAGAGGAAGAAGAAGAGTAGGAGGATGAAGAAGAGGAAGAAGAAGAAGAGTAGGAGGATGAAGAAGAGGAAGAGGAGGAAGAGGAGGAAGAGGAGGAGAAAGAAGAAGAAGAGGAATAAGAAGAGGAAGAAGAGGGGGGAAAGAAGAGGAGGAGGAGGAGGAAATATAATTGATTGCTTATTTGGTTCAACCGTAATATATTTTTTTTCTCAGAAGGAAGTCTGTAATAAAAGGATGGCCCCTTCTACACAGCCATGCAATTCAGATTCTCGAAGGAGATAATCCACAGTATCTGCTTTGAATTGGATTATATGAGTCTACACTGCCATATAATCTCGTTCAAACCAGATAGTCTGGAATTTATATGGCAGTATGGAAGGGGGCTCAGACAGACAGAAACAGCCTCTGGTTTCTGCTTGCAAACCAGAGGGATTGTACCTTGTGAATTTCCTGGTGCAGGTCTTTCAAGGCACAGATTCCATGCAGATACCATAAGTGGTGTCCTCCCCCATGAAGATCATCCACATTAAATTGTCTTTTAGTGTCCACAATTCTATCATTCCAGTAGTTTAAAACATCCAAAGAAAAGGAACATAATTAGCATGGGAATGACCACACAGCTAACACAGAAATAGTTTTCAGTATCTCTTTGGGACAGAAGGAAAGTCTCATTTGGGAAGGGAGAGGTTTTACTGGGGGAGTAATACCTTCTTTTTGCCTCCCCTCCCCTGGCTATACCTCTGATTCCCTGTCAGAACAAACAGGAGGACATTAAAAACACCCCCCCCCCTCAAAGCACCAGAGTTTGTCTGATCTGGAAAGCC